AAAACCTGGAAGCCATGTTCTGCTCGAGGCAAGTTACTTCTGTGAGATCTCTGGCAAACTGCCTCACTCTCTGGGCCTGATGCCTTTGAAAATGTGAAATAATGATTACCATTCTTTTTTTAAATTGTTTTGACATCTACAAATGAAAATTGTTACAGAAATTGTAAGGGATAGTACTGTATTTTATGTATGAGGACAGAGGGCAGTAATTTCTCAGAAGTTTTTTTAAACGCAGTGCTTGTGAATAACAAGGGACAGGGTGATTGAACTGAAGAGTAGCTGAGCATTTTAGGGCTCAGACAAACATTGCAGCAGGCAACAGGCCAACCACTTAAAAGTACAACCTCCCTTCCTTCATGTCAGCTTTTCCGCTAGTGACTTAAGTAGTTTACTTTAAATAAATATTTACTTTAAGTATTATGATTAAGTGACAATAGTTTACCAAGATTAAAATGAAACTCTGATAAGAATGGAGCCAAGTATACACTAGAACACTTTTTACAAGAAATACACTTTGCAAGGAGCCTGAACTCCGTTATGCTGAGAAGATGTGCTGAGGGTGCTGGACCTGTCACACAGTATGAGCGTGTTCGAAGGTGGGTTCCCTGTAAAGTTCATTACTTGAGTTGTGCTGCTAGAGCTGGACAATATTCTTAGAGGTTAGCTTCACGCTATGAAGGTCCTTTGAGGCACTGAAGGTGATCATTACAACTTGATCAAGGCTTCCCAGCGTAGCTGAAGCTATTGCCATGAGGAGCTGGGATGGTACATGACTGCTTTGCCAGTGACAACAGTCACTGGAAGGGATGTCCTTCCCCTCGTCCCTCCAGACTGCAGCAGTTGCTGCCATCTCTGGATCCATTCAACTCTGGAATAGGGCAGCTGGGCAATGGCTGCTGGGCCACTGCAAGCAACCTCACGTCTAGGACTAGCCGTGACTACTATGTCCTGTACCCAAGCAATTTCATTTTCTTTGGCAACAGAAAAACTTTGACAAAATAAATGAGGTTTTGAATAAAAGCTATAAAAAAGTAACATGCCCTTTGCGTTCACTGGCCCCTAGAATCCCAGCAGCCAAACAGTTCATGTGGATGTGTGTGCGAGTGCCCTCTCATAAATCCATCCAAGAAGCAGTAAACAGTTCTGCAGAAGTAATACCACTCCATTTAAATGAACTGTCTTCAGCTAGTGCTGAATGATCACAGACTTCTCCCTCACAAATTTGCGCTTGCTTTCTGATAGGAAACTGGATTGACACCTAATCCTGAGATGGTGGTATGCAAGTTCTCTTGACAAGTATAAAATCTGCTTCAGAGTTGTGCAGATGAGAAGTTCATAAAAGAAAAGCTTGAAAATTAAGTTTTCTCTGTGAAACTTCTACTTATAGATTTTGCAGCTCTAACCAGAAAATCTAGCTGAGCTAACCTACATCCTGCTAAGCAGTATAAATACTATGATGGTGCGTAAATACTTAGGCTAGATAATCTGTCAGTGGCAGGCTCTAAAATATTTGTTCCTCCTGCCTAATGACTCTTTGATATTTCTTACAATTGATGGGATAAAGCTATTCAACTTCTATCTTCTACACAAAAGCTGTATTTTCTTTGTAGCTCCTGTGAGGAAGTGGCACCAGTTTTGTGGCCATTATTATATACATGAGGCCGCCTCGCCAGTCCTGTGATTCTCTTCCATGCCTTGCTTTATTCTTCAGGGGAAGTAATCAACACTTCATTACCAAATACAACAATAAGACAGGGTTGAAGTTTCCTATGCTGTAATTAGGAAAGTGTCAGTGTCAACAGTATAAATTCCCCTTATGAGGCATTTATGACTGAAATGTAAAGATGTACTCCCAGCTGAAAAACCCCTCTCTTTTCAGATCTTATCGTGTAAATTGTGATTATATTTTTTAACAATTCAAGGAGCATCTTAAAATTATAAGAAGAAAGTTAAACTGGAAAAAAAAGGAAAAAAGAAAAAAGGAAGGAAGATTTTATTCTAGTTGCTGACCTTCTCTTTAAACACACAGGCTTTGCTGGGGCCAGATTCTTCAAGTCAGAGAACTAATTTTCCCACATCTCTCCTCAGCACACATACACAGGCTTTTTTTCTACAAAAAAGAAAGACTGAACATGTCACCTGATAATTATCTGTGACTCTGAGGTCCATACTCCTTACAGGAAATTCTGTTGTCTGCATGGAATGTCTGGCTTTCGAGGTTTGAAAGTTGGATGGCAGGAGTTGCTGATTCTGGCAATAACTTTGAATCTTCTATTGTGATTGTGAGGGTGTCTGAGTACTCTTCTGGTGTAGTGGATGTGCTGAGTAACAGCTGGTGTTTCTAAAAGTTACTATTTTACTGGTTTGTTTTTAAGGACTGCTTACTCCATCTCTATATCTGAGATTTTGTTACATCCAGCAATTTATGGAATTCGGTGTTATGATTCCCACTGCAGCTATGATTTTCTTCCATGTACATATTTTCTTTGACTATATAATGAGTCTCCAGCTTTAAGAGAGAGAGTTTTATCGGGTAAGCCTAAGGTTGTGCAAGAAATGTTGGAAGTTGGTAGGTTTTAGTCTTCCTTCCAGGACAACACTGAGGCACAACCACATTGAAGTACTGTCTAGACCAAAGTCTGGTATACTTTGCAGCAGTGCTTAACTTCTGCAGCAAAGTCTCTGAATATCATAAAGATAGCCAACTCTGTGCCTGTGTGGCTTGCGGGTTGTTCAAGGGTGGTTCCTGTGCTGAAGCTATGCCATATGACTGGTGAGGAGCCTGTTGGTACTGGCCTAGTGAAGCAGAACCAGGAGGGGCTGCTGAGGCTGGTATTTACTAGAACTTAGATTCACTGTCAGCACACCCAGATGAATCCTGGATCTGACAGCTGGGATTTAGAGAATACTGTTATCTCCTGCTTGTAAAACGCCTGGGATCACCTGCACCCTTCAGCTCTCCGTCATGTATGGTGTGTGCTGTGTGGCTGGCTTTGACCATATGAATGTTTTGGTATTAACTTTTGCAGCTGAGGAAGTTGGCCGCTTGGTGCTAGTATTCTGTTGCCGTTCATATAATTTCAAAGGCAGCTTCAACATGAAACATGGAAGGTTTTAATGATGAAGACCTAAAAATAAAGTATGGGACAGACACTTTGGTGTGATCGATACGTGTTCTGCTATTCTCATTCTTTTAGTGTCATGTCTCCTGTAGGGTTGGACTCGATGATCTTGAAGGTCTTTTCCAACCTAAATGATTCTATGATTCTATGTTCTGTGAATTTGTAACTGTATCACACATGTTACAAAGAGGGAAGCTTTTCCCAGGCTTGGCATCTGGAAAAATGTGAAGAGTCTTTAGCAAGATGGTTCATGAAATAGTGAACAAAGACAAGACTGTAATTGTCATCTTTTTATTTTGCATTTAAAATGATCCACACCTTTCACAGGTATTGGGGTTTTAGGCTTTTTTTCCTTTTGTGGTGGTGTATTTTGAATGCACTCTTCAGTTCTGTTCCTGGTAAGTCATACTCATTTGAAACCCTCTGATGCTTTTAACTATGATAAAAGCTTGTTAGTTTGCTTTTGGGAAGAGTTTCCCAAATTGCTCCTACAACTTTTGCTGGATACAATGCACATTTTCTTCTCTTTCTGACCTAAGCATCTAGGTAGTATTGCTGTTAGTGTTTGTTGCAGTATTTCTTGTCGCTACCCCATTCCACGTATCATTTTGTTTCAGTAGTTTCTGCATGTGTAAGGGTGAAAGTATTAATAAAAAATAATGTTTGACTACTGTTCAACCATTTATAAAGCCGACTGAAATTATGGAAAACTTTTTTCCTCTCAACAGATTAGATTCTAGTCTGTTAAAAGACATGTCCTTCTCACTCCTTTGTGCCAGCTATCAGTGTTGGAAGGAGGGGAGATGTCTCCCTCAGGAAGGAGGAGCTGTCTCCACCAGACTTAGCCTCAGTGTTTCGGAACCAGCATTTGGAACACGGGTTCTGCTGTTGTAATGGAGAGGCCCTTGCAGAAGTGGCCAAGACCTTCCTCAGCATGGGGAAATCTGTTCCTTGCAGACACTGTCCCACCCCTAGCTTTGGTTTCTCGGCATTTGTTTTGTAGTCTTCTGAAATGGCATGACTTTTTCCCTGAGATGACTTTGGTATTCCGCCTATGGATGTAGGGATTTTCCTCAGCTTTATCAAACAGCTCTGGGACAAGACCGATACCTCAAATTTCATGGCAGTATCTGGGCTTGACCTGAAACCAGCATGTCATGTTCTATCACTGCTCTTCTGAATCCCACACTGGGGAATATTTTTAGTATTGCCAGTCGTAAGCTGAGGTGGTTGTGATGTAACGCACTCTGTAGTGGATCCCACAAAGCGAGTCAATGTTAACTTGAAAACGTTAACTCCAGTGACAGAAAAGTTTTAAAGCCTTTTTTCCGAACTCTCTCCCTCAAGGTACCGTTCAATTTGGCGGCTCTCAGCCGAACGAGTGAAATTTCCTCTTCAGACGAGCAGGAGAACGCATCAACCTCAAACGGCTGGGCAGCGGCCAAACCGCCCGCCCTGGCGAGAGAGGGGGGGACCCGGCCCCTCTCCTTCCCGCCTCTGGGGAAGGCTGTGAGGGACGGGG